GAGTTCGGTGCCTCAACGGTCGATTTTTTCTGACTGCCACTCAATCACGGTATACCGATGGCTGTTCGTCGAACGACAGTTTACTGACTGTATACCGTCAGTACACATGAGAACTGTGGCAAACTGACGGTAGTATGGACAAACGTGCAATAGGGTATACAAATGGTCAGATAGTCGAGCGATAGTTTTTTTTACTTACTTGCTTCTGATGCTTGTGTATTTCTTGATGCCATACCGATCAATCAATAATAAGATGAACACTAGTCTAGAAGGAGAACAAAGAAAGGTATAATTTCACTCAATTGAAGCTACTCGAGCTTTATGGCTGTGCTTTACTTTACCATTGAAGAAGATAGTTGCTTCCACCATTAGTCGTGCTAGATTAGAATCTTACACAGGGCTACTTTCTGACTGTGTCACTAGGCAACACGTAGGATTGTCTACTTACAGAACTGAATGAAAGTCCTGAGCAGCTCTGAGCTAACATCACTCTATGATGATTAAAGGCTGATATTTTGGCTGTATGCAGATTTCAGTGAATCCTGACCCTACGCATTGTCTCGCTCTGAATCGATTGATATACACTGCAATTATGAACTCAACACTATCATGCCCCTATGAAAGGCATATCTGGGTCGCCTGTTGACATTTATATTGATGCATACTCCATTTCGAAAGCTTGATTGCTTAGCTATTTTGTGTACGGATATTGTAAGAAACTACGTTGGAATATTGAAGATCTAACATGGGGTGTGGGTCTTACCTTAAAGTTCATCCACATCCCCTTATTATTGGCCGAGTTTATTGAACCCATACCGGAAACTAAGGCTTACTATTTGTAGGAAATTTTCAATGCCAAATTCAGATCTTCAAAATTTCAAGATATTTTCTTACAATATTCATCCAGAAGATACCTGGGCCATTGAGGTTTTGAATGAGAGATTGCGTGAATACCAATATCAAAAAGTAATCGAGGTGTGCTTTTCCTAAGAACAGAACAGTGTTGAAATCATAACGGTAGTGTCTGACAACTGATTCAGAGCGAGACAGTGCATACGATCATGATTCACTGGGGCTCGTATGCTTCTCAAATATCAGCTTAAAGTCATCTAAAAAATGATACCAGCTTGTGGCTGGTCGGAACTTCTTGCCAGTACTGTATTCATGAGTACCAATGAAGTTGGCTCCTGTCTGTATCGCATTAGATGTATTATGAAAAGACATACACTACCAGATATAGACAACGGACGGTTTGAAAAAATCACAGAACTTTTCAACGAAGGTCGAACATGCATATAACAGTTGACAATTTCAACAGGTCGAAACTCTGAAATTCAGCGAGACAACGTTCTACTGTAAATTTGAATGCAAGTGAACTGTTTCATGTTTTTTATCTGAATGAATTTGTTCTTGTCTCTACCAAATGCAAACATTTCATTTGTTTTCATTGAAGGGGTTTCGCTCTCTCATATAATACTTCTTTTGTCACAACATTGGTTTTTTCCTCAGTAAAAAAGATATCTGATTTTGCTTATTGTTTGCAGCTGCTGAGAAATTTTATGTGATGTTCTTAGTAAAAAGGAAAAGAATGAATTCTTATCGGTATGACTCACGATTGTTCACTGAATTATTCACTACGGATTCGTTCATTTTCTTTGTTAAAATAAAAGGAGATACGGCCTAATTTTCGATCCACCCTTACTAGTTTTGTGCTACTCGGCAAATAGAAAAGTCCAGTAAGAGGCAGGTTAAGATAAAAAAAAACGACGTGTAAAGTTGGAAAAAAGATAAGAAGACACTTTTCAAGTGCAACCTGTGTGGGTGTGGATGAATCTGTGTCTAAAAGCTTGTATGATCGAAAATATGTCGCTCACTAAAAAGAACGGACGAGATTGCTCCGGTTTAGTGTGTTGTCAAGGGAATTGAGAAATAGATTCGAAAGATTTGCTGGATGTTGATAGCGCCTGGTATTGTGTCGTTGTATTTTTGAGTTTTCGGTTGTTTGAGGGTGTGGGTGTGGGTGTGGGATGAGAGTGAGTGTGGAGCGTGGTTGTTTTCACGGATGATTGTGGCTGAGACATTTCTTCTTCCTCTCAGGTCTACGTCCCTGCACAATCACGCCCATACTCCGACACCCACATCCTACCTGTCTTCTCACAGTTGGTGTTCGTGGATGTTCGCCCATATGACACACATCAGTGTAGGTGTGGATAGATCGATGGACAAGTTTCGGTTTGTGGAGAGGTAGCTGGTAAAAGAAAGAGCACATCCCTCACCCGCAGTCAAGTAGGCTCACCCTCATCCTCAAATGCACTCTCGCAGTTTGATTTAGCGTCTATAGCCACGATCTAACAGCGTATCTTACTTGAAGATGGTTCTGCGAAATTCAAAGGTGGTATTACAAAAGATGATGCAATTTTTTTATTAAGAGACGAAATTCTTTCTTATCGATGAATAGCGTGCAGAAGAGAAAGAAAAGTATGCGGAGTTGGTCGGTGCACGCTCTATAATAGAACAAGCGTTTAAAAAAAATATTTTTCGCTCTGCAATACATTAAGAAGTTTCTCTTTGCATATTTATTTTGTGTCACAAACAAAGAATGGAGGAAAAGTAAACCTTGAAGTTTGAGCAACGATTCATACTACACTACAGATAAGCAACATTGCATTTTGAATTTTCTGGCTCTCAGTAGTTTACATCGTCACTTCTGCGCTAGCCCAGGTATGATTGTGGGATGTCGGTTTGGGTGTGAGTACAGATGTGGATGTGGATGGTTGATATGTGAGTGGATATGTGAATGGGTGGAGTATGGATGAATGGGTGTTGGTGTACGTGTTTATGTGGGGTTTCGGAATTTCGCCAATAAGACTTTCGCCATTGGAGAAAGTCCTTTGTACTTTCACCAATACATTCCGTGGAGTTTCACCAATTGGCGAAAGTCCTCCGTACTTTCGCCAATATACCCCTGGACTGTCGCCAATTGGCGAAAGTACAGCGAGCTTTCAGCAATTTCATTGTAGATTAGACGTACACTAAAAAAAAATTTTTCTCACCTACATCGATGAGTGTAAACTATGATATATATATAGTCTAATAACATTAACTTCAGCGATGACATATATCCTATATTAATATTGTTCCATGACAACTAAGATATTCCACCTCACTTTCGCCAATATACCCCGGGGACTTTCACCATTGGTGAATGTCTTATTGGTGAAAGTCTTATTGACGAACATCCCGCCATCCGTCTATGTGTGTGTTGGGTGTGGATGAGTGTGTGTATGGATGTTAGTCTAGGATGTTGGGTAGGGATGCGGATGTGAGTGTGGATGGGTGAGATCTTGGTGTGGGTGAATGAATAGAATATAGATGGATGGATGGGTGTTGGTGCTGGCCTGTGGTGTTGGCGTACGTGTCTATGTGTGTGTTGGATGTGGATGAGTGTCTGGATGAATGGATGTTGGTCTAGGGTGTTGGTTGTGAGTATGGGTGTGGGTGAAATCAATACTTACACCCATACCAACACCCACACATACTTTTACACCATTAAGTTTTGTAAGTTTACCTTCTATCTTCAATCATATATTATAAATCATTTTTTCTAGAAAATAGTAGATGTTTTATCTTTGATTATTTTCGGTATTCTGTTTCCATAATAGATCTCACCTTATCTGGCAAATCATTTCATTTGTGGAATGTGAAAAAAGAGAGACAAGAATTATTTCATTATGAATTTATGTACACACCAATATATCATAGATTAAATTTTTAAACTGAAATAATTACATCATAAAAGTCGATTTGTAGTCTGTAGCGTCTTTTGTATGTGATTAACATTTGTATTGAATACTGATTCCGCCTCATAATTTAATCTAGCATTTGTTATGGAAAATGGATAACTTAATATATTTGAATAAGTATGGTTTTTTTTCCAAATTTTAAATATATTTATTTATTTGATCTAAATCTAATAAAAAATGATATATATAGTGAATTATTTTATAATTCGAAATTAGATGCGAACTAGACTCCTGTACGAGTTCAACTTTTCGAATCTGCACCTGATCCGAGGTCCTCCAGTTGAACTCGAGCCCGGTCCGACTCGATCCGATTCGAAAAATCTGATTCGTTTATTTATACTAGATTAATAATTTAATGAAACGAAATTAAATAACCATAATCGAGCAGACAAGTTAGGAGAGACTAATATTACTTTTTGTTTTATTCGACAATGAACACATTAGAAAATAAGCACTTTATTTTTCATTACTTTATTACAAAAAAGAAAATCTAGAAGATTCAACAAATGGAAACAAAGAATATAGACTTAAAACCTTTTTATTCCCTACTTAAGAATCGAAAAATATTCAATAAGATAAGAGGAGTGAAGGACATCAAGTAAATTTTGTCTAGACAGAAAACAAATATATGGACGTGAATAGTCGGCCTGGTATGCTAGTTCTTTTTTTTTGTACATACAGCTTCTATAACATTTTCAGCATTTTGTACATTTTTTTAAAGAAATCATAGCAATAGAGTTTAACAGTTGATATGATTAAGGCGCGATCGCTTAGTCACTACGCTCCAAATTTTCTTCGATGATGTGGCCGACCGAAAATAAGTCGTACTTGCCGTTAGAATGTGGATCGTCTCCCTGCAAGTAGAGTACATCTCTGAATTGCATCAATATCGGTAATGAATCATTACTTTCATGATCAAATTTGATTTACATTATAGTATCACGATTGTGAAAAAAGATTTGTAATAGTAATAGATCATTTTCGAGAGGGAATATCAAAGTTTTTCAAGTCACAGATTGTCAATGAATTTTCAAAATAAGAAATTTCTGATTTGACTTGCTCAGTTCTAATAGAAAATATAAATTCAATAATTAATGACACATTTATTATTGATAATCTTATTATGATTTTTTGTTTTCGGGTAATATTTACAAACTCTAAACATGAATGTAGAAACTAAGGAAATATTTGAATATATTATCGGCGATAATGTTTGTCAGTGCATAATTGATGAACATATTTTGTTAGAAAATAATCTTCATTGAACAAAGATAAATTTGAATGAAGACTTGAAGCAAGTGCTAATGGTATACTATGATCATTAATTATCTGTCGATTTTCTTTTAATTTTTTATGAGATTGTTTTCTTTGATGTAAATCAAACAAGAAGGGTTGAGAATTATGTGAAAATAATGTTTTATCTGATTGTACATCTGTTACATTCGAAAGAAAAGATGATTCATTATGAGTATTTGATAGTAAAAATCCATTTGTTGTTGGAGATAAATTAATGGTATTCATCGTTGACAGTTTTTGATTTCGATCTGTTAAAGTAAAAAAGAACGTAACCTGTAATTGAATGAATAAAAAAATACCTGAAGATAGAGTTGAAGCGATTTGTTTTGGGCTGTCGTTGAATGAAGATTGTTTATATGAAGAAAGTTCTTTTTTCTCATGTAGTTGCTGTTGGGAAAAATTCTGTCCTGAATGATAAAATGTAATGATATGATATGGAATACTATTATCGATTTCAAAAAAGAAGAGCCGTGAGTATTTTTTGAATAACTTTTGATAGAAACAAGATAAAGAACTATGAATTTCACCATTACAAAGAGAAGATTCAGGTGCATAAATACTTGCTGGTAAATGATTGACCAGCTTCCTGCAAATCAGATATTCTTGGCGAACACTTAAAAACGATACTCTGGGCCCATTTTTTAGTTGGTTTTGATTGTTAATATGATTGTAGATAGAAACAGTTATTCTCTTTTGATCTACACAAGACTGACATTGCTAGCTTGGTTCGTTCAAGAGTTATAAGGTTTTGTTTGAGACCCCCAGTTTCAGCCAATTGACTTGGAATCAACCAAAAAAAAAGCATCTAGGCAGAGGTAATTCATTATGGTGAGTTGAGTGGCGATATGCGTTTTTGAATTCACAATGATCTGACACTGTTATTTCAATATTTATGTCTTGTAGACTTATTATGCTACATAGCAGCAGATTTTGAAATACAAGTTAATATTATCATCTACATCAAATTTTTAAACAAACTGCCAACCTTTGTCTTGACACTGTCGAAATAAATCATGTATCTTGTTCGCGTATTTTAATAGTTTTACAAAACATATATATACGAATACTATCACAAAATATCAGATGTATAAATGTGATACCTGTTGAATTTAATTAGGTTTCAATATTCTCATAAAATATATTCGTCCTTAATTGAATCAAGCTTATTTCTGTCTTCGAACTTCGGACAATCATTTTTCCGTGCTCAAATAACAATTTTCTCATACCCGATGATACTGTTGAACAGAATGAAGGTCGATTATGTCTACAAAACATATCACGATTCATAAACATTAATGGTTCATGTAAACGACGACACAATGTATCAGTTAATTGTTCATGTAAATTAATTGTTTTTTCTGATGGATTTAAATCTGCATTTATTGTTTGTAAATCGTTTTTTGATATTTCCGTTTGACAATGAGATGAACGAATTGGTACAACAATAAGATGTGTATCAATTGAATAACTATCTTTTTGTTCAGTTGATGCTTGATTCATATTTTGATTTGATGATGAACGACGAGGTTTATCCCAAAACATACTCTTATCTTTACTAGAAACACAGTAGTCGTAAAAAATACCTGTACTAGACGAGAACTATTTCAACATGAACATGCTCTCTCGAAATTTCTATTGTCTCTCTACATGTTAACTTCTCCATATCTTAGCTATTTCAATATGTGTCCCTTTACGGAACACCTCATTCGAAAGTTCAACAATGTAGCTCTCTTCGATCAACACTTCGTTAGAAACCATTTTACAATGGGTCAGATATGACTTTCTAATTTTCAGTCAAATGCATCTATTTCAGGATAGATTCGAAAATTATAAAACAAAGTCCTTCTGAATGCAACAGTATTTGTTAAAAGTTTTAGAATCATTGCTCTGAAGTATATCAAGATAGAATTACTAGAAATGTCAGCTATTGCATGGCCTGATAATAGTTTGGATGTTGATTATTTGTGGCGATCTTTAGAAGTACGAAAAAGAAGCCGTGTGTAACTCGGTAAAGAATAGTATTATAATGAAAAATACTTGAATGTCAAATAGAAAATTTCTAGAGCTGTATTCTCGTTGACCTATCTAAGTCAATGATTCCAGCATCTACATGCGTGAATTTCTGGTAGATTCTCACCGGAAAGACGCCGTTCCCTGAGCGAAAAATGGTAAGAACTTGAAAGCAGGAATTCAGTGCTTAGATCTTTTCTAGTTCTGATCGTAACCAAGCAGAGTTAACCACTGGATTCAATTGTCGGATTCCTTTTTCCAAGTTCCTATCATTTTTCCGATCGGAAATCAGCCATATTTCTTGACCTGGGTATATTGAAAAACTTGTTGGTTATCTTCTTTGTCACAAAATCTACCAGCAAATACATACATACATACAGAAATCATTCAGGTTCATATACTAATTATACACCATATCAACATTTTTTAAGGTTTCTTTATATATTTCACTTGCTTCTTAGATCGAATCAATACAACAAGATGTTATGTTCACCAAACAAAAAACATTGAATAGCTATAGTCAAAAATATCTTCGGATAGTTATTTTGTCATAGTAACATACTTTAAAAAGTTTTTTTATGCAGGCACTCGCTGGAAAAAACCTTAAGAACTACAAATCAACTCATTGATTTAGACGAGCAAATTTTGTAAAAAAAAATATAACTAACAAATTTTTTAATATACATCAATGAAAATACAGTTCTAGAAAATTTCTCTTTACCATTCAAGTATTTTTCATTATAATACTATTCTTTGTCGTGCTACATACAATTTATTTTCCGTACTTCTAAAGACCGCTACAAATAATCAACATCCAAACCATTGTCAGATCGTACAATAGCCAACTTTTATGATAATTCTATCGTAATATATTGTAGAGCAATAGTTCTGAAATTTTTAACAAACACTTTTACATTCATTAGGACTTCGTCCTATAATTTTCGAAACCATCCTGAAATAGATGCATGTGACTGAAAATTAAGTTTCACTGTTTGTCAATTTTTTTATTTATTTAGAAAGTCATATCTGAACCATTTTAAAATGATTTCTTACGAAATTTTGATCAAAGATAACTATATTGTTGAGCTTTCGAATGAAGTATTGCATAAACGAGACATACTAAAATAGCTTTAAAATGAAAGTGATAAAGTGTACATAGTATTTGATTTATAAGTTCGTTTTATGTCATCTAATAGAGGATTAATTGATGCTTGCAATCAGAGTTCATTGCTTTATACTGATGATAGAAGTTTCAAAACAAAATGTTCATGTTCAAATAGTTTTCAATTGATAGAGATATTTCTTTTTCCAACTATTGTAAAATTCATATGCAATTCTATATTTACCTATTACTTCTCCGTAATCGGCAGTGTCTTCGATGACTATGTGCTTCAAATAACGGCAAATGATATCTTGATAAATCTGAATAGTTTTTATTCTTAGAAATCAATGAATAATTTTCCATAGTTGATTTATTGATAGATATCGTATCCATACAACTACTACTAGTTTGATTACAACTTGAATCATATTGTAATTCTTGTTTGACATACATTAAAATTTCCCAAAGAGATTTAAAGAATAGTTCATAAATAATTTGCATACACCATATTGAACTTTCATATAGAATAATAAAAGCATATGCTAAACAATCATCATTATTTTTAAAACTGAAGATAAAAAAAAAAAAAAAATTTTATTTAACTTTTTTGTGAAAAAAAAATTGAACCTACGAATGAGATTGAATGTTATTTTTTTTATAAGTCATTGAACTATTTGAACAAGTACATGTTGAACAAGAACATGTTTCTTTCAATGTTATTTGTTGAGTAGAAAGACTTGATATATCAGTTAATGATGTTGTTATTGATTTATTTAGAATTGAATTTAATTCTCGATAAGATAATTTAGATGATGATGTTAATAAACTATCAGTTTTCATATTTTTCAATAATCATTACATTTGATAACCGTTCTGGTTAAGAAAATAGAAAATTTCATATTGGCGCCTTTTTATTATAAATAATTTATTTCACAAATGATTATGATGATGGCACCGGATATTGATTGAAAATTATCCTCTCGTTATTATTGTATGTCTGTTCGTTTAAAATAACGAAATAAAAAAATATTGAAAAATAAGCAACGAAAACATCATCATTATAAAAAAAATCATCAACCATTGCAAAATCTATCATATTATAAAATTAATTAAAATTATTTAAAATAAAATCAAAGTTAAAATATACAATAATATGTTTTATCGAATGTTTTTTTAATAAAGATCAATTTGTAAAAATCATGAAATGATTAATTATTCATAAAAATGGTAAATCAACAATTCTTTGATATAAACAAGATATTGTCCTTGTCAATGAATTTTCTTCAATTATCCGACCTTCGGATTTCTTATCATCATATCAGTCTGTGTCATTACATTCTCAAATAGCATCAGCATCATCAATTATTAATAAAATGTCAATAACTATATCTGAATAGAGAATAATAAATAAACGAAATGATGACGAAAGACAAAATCAAAAACAAAACGTAATTAAATCATTTTTCTTATTATTCAATCATTGTTTAAATCATTTCGATCAGTTTAATAATAAGACAAAAACAAAACGAATGGCATGATATTATGAAAGAAGTAAATTTATTTATCTTTATATTATTTCTTAAATCCATCTTTTTAGAATAATTGTTTTCAACAATAATGAATATTACACTCAAACTTCTGAAATAATCAATTAAATATGTCTTATCATAATTAATTCTATGTTTACAAATCGAATTTCACTTTTGCCATCAGAATCAATTATTTATACAAGAATTTTAAAAATTTATGTTTTAATAAAAACTCAATTGAAAAAAAAAATAACAATCGATAAATGATAATGTTAAATTATCTTATGATTTATCACAAGAATATTATTCTAATTTTAGAAAAAAGTAATTATAACATGAGTATTGTTATTTGAATTCATTATTATTTAATCATAAATATTTAGATTTATTCGTTTTGTTTTTCTATTGAAATACTAAAATAATTATTAGTATTGATTGTCTCATTTTTTTTTTCTCTCTTGTTCTGTTATCAATAAAAGCAATATATAGATTGGACGAATGATGAATGAGACTAATGTAAATCTGTTGTTATTTTGGCTACTGCTAGTGTTGTTGTCGTCAGCCTTCAGTGGTCTTATTTCATGTACATACGATAGAATGGAGAAGATAGATTTTTCTTCCCGGGTGATTACTATTACTTGATTTTTTCTTCTTAATACTATTGGATGAAGAAGAATGTCGGTACACATATGCTTATTTCTATCGATGATATACGAGCATATGCATAGTGATAATTATCAAGTCTACAATATCTTAGAAGAAAAAACAAAGGTTGTCTTTTGTTATTCTCTATTCTCCAAAAACAACAATTGTTTATAATATTATCAATAGTTCAATGCATATGATGACGTTAGCAACTGTTGAACATAAAAAGAACGATAGATTTATCATATTAAGGTTGTTAATGTTCTTTTTTTTTTTGCTTTACTTAAGATATAACAAACAATAAAATCAAATGTTGCAATGAATATTGAATAAAAGAAGTAGGAAGGAAAAAAAAAAGAAAAAGAAGAACAGGTTTGAGAAAAAAGAAAAAAAAGAGTATATAGGCTTGCTAAAGGTGTTCTTATTTTGACACGAATCAGAGAAAAAAAAATGATCTTTTTTTCTTGTTTATACATGAAAAAAAAATGGACACTTGGATGTCAAAAGTAATGGCTAATTTCGTTTATTCTTCTTCATGAGCACCAACACCAGGTGGTGGAGCATAGTTTGGCTTATTGCTATTATAATAAAAAATATGAGAAATAAATAAATAGAAAAGATACATAAAAATAAAAACTTACGTCATCTCAGAGCCACCTTTGTTTCCTAAATGTTCACCAGTGTCCATACCTAATGTACCGGCTCCTTGACCGAAACCATAACCTTTTGGTCTAAAGAAAAAATTTTTATTCTATAATCTTTCTTTTTTTCTTTCAAATAAATACAAACCCAAATTTACGTCCATAACATTGTTTACAATAAACATTGCCTTCATGTTCAGCTACGGTCATGGCTTCTAGCATTTTCTTACAAAGACCTTTTTTTTATACAAAAAACAAAAAAGAAGTTAAAAGAAAAAAATAATAATAATTTATATTCAACATACCACATTTAAAGCACATTTTGTGCCATTTTTTTCCAGCTGCTGGAACTTCTTCAGCAGCATAGACATTTTGATTACATTTCGGGCCTATGAAAATAATCAAAATTTGAAATGAGTTTTTTTTTTTTTCTTTGAGCTTACATTTTGTAACTTCTGGTGGTTTGAATGGCATGATTATGATGATTTAGAGATAAGTATAATCTGAAAAAAATTTATATTATATACAACACCTGATTAGAATTTTAGTCACACTCATCATAAATATAAAATCATATTCTTCATTTAAAACAAAAAGAAAAAAGAAAATAACAGAGAATAATATAAACAAAAGTAAATAAAACAAGAATCTATACATATATATATATATATATATATTTGAATTTGCCTTTATTAAATATTAATTCAATCTATTCATGTTGATTTGTAGCACCAGGTGGTAATAGCGAAAAGTTTGATTTGTTTCTATTTAGAATAGATTAAATAAAAAGAAAGGAAATTAAAGTAAAATATTCTTACATCATCATTGAACGAGATTTATTGCCAAAATGTTTACCTATGTCCATACCAAGAGAATATTTTTCAGTACCAAAATCAACACTTTTAGGACCCTACATTAATATGAATCTCTTTTCAATAGAAGCGTAATCTTAATTGCATCAATAATCACTTACAATCCTATGAGCATTGCATTGTTTACAACATAAATTACCTTCATGCTCAGCAAGTAGTATTATTTCGAGCATTGTTTTTGTTTTACAAAGGCCTTTTTACAAATAAAAGAAAAGACTCATAGGATAAGGTCAATATCTTACCACATTCAAAACAAGTTTTGTGCCATTTTTTACCAGCTGTTGATACTTTTTCGACGTAATAGATAGGCTGATTACATTTTAAATCATGAAAAATTTAGATTTAAAATGGCATCTGAAAGAGATAATGGATATAATAGACTTAATCAAGAACTGATAATAAAATAGAATAGATTAAAATCAATAAGAAAAGGATGAAAAGAATGATTGTTTATGTTTAAATCTATCGTATTTAAAACATATTTTACAATATTTCTTACCATCTACTTGAACTTCTTCAACAATATAAACATTTTCATAGCATTTTGAACATTTGATTAGTTCGGAAGATTTGAATGGCATCTTATTAACGATCAAAAATAAATAAATAGTCTCGTTCCTACTCATTTCTCTAGTCGTCTTAACTTATATAAGATGAATAAGAAAGACGACTAGTTGGTTGATCAAACTTCTTCTTCTTCTCTGAAAAGAACATAAAAATAACACAGTTGTTTTCTTGATTCCTTTTTCCGCTCTCTTTCTCTATCTCTATCTATATCTATATGATTCTATTCCGTATCCGCTGCAAAAAAATACCGATCAGCATCATATATAACATCTCGGAGTAGAAAATGATTGTTTCCAGCATCATCAACCAAACACCGAGTAACATATTGAGTAAATATCTTTGGCGGTGAATAGACGGATGTGTATGTGTGTGAAAGAAACAGAAAGAGAAAAATAGAAAAGAGCGAACGATACTATCACCACCAATATACAATTTTCCTTATAAGAAGAAAAAAAAATAGCTCATAGAAAAAACATCTAAGATGCATTGGTATCTATATGTATATGCGTAGGAATAAAAATAGAGAAAGAGAGAAAAGCTGTGATGGAATGAAACCCTAACCCTAATGTTCCTCCCAAATTTAGCATACTAAGTTGATCTCACCACCGATATAACTTGTCCCTCTCTCTCTCTCTCTCTCTCTCTCTCTGTTCTTTTCTAGTTACCAACAAGTCATGTATTTTATATGATGCTGAATATTGTACACTTCCTTCCTCATTCAGTTATACAGGCATATTCTTTTTTTTTTTCTCTCTTGGTAGCCCAGTCATTTCTCACCAATGACATTCTTGTTATTAATCACGTCTCACAAAAGAACAGAACCATATAGGACAAACATTGATCGCAATATCATTTCTTTTTTCCTGACTATTACATATCAATAAACGAACACACACACGCACACACATATGCAATAAAAGAAAGAAAGATACCTAACTAAAAAAAGATATGGACTAAAGTTGTATGACAATTATTTTTGATCCAATCAATAGTTGATCTATTATATTCTTATGGCTAGTTAACTAAGGTTTCACATCATTTCTTAATTTGTGTGGATGTTAAAAGAAGTAAAAATTTGTATGAAAGAAAAACAACATACAAATATTTCTGCATATGTGTACAAGTAAAAGTTGTTGTGTATCATTAAGAGTATGCTGACAAAGATAGAACGACAGATATTAGATCATTTTTTGTTACGATCAATCATATAAAACATTTGCAGATGTTTTCTTGAAGAATTTGATGTGCATTATTCATATAACAATGAAAAATAAACTTTTTTATCATTATTAAATCGACATACAATACAAGAAAATTTAGTTTGTTTATAAGAACAATGTTTGATGATTAATTTCTATTTATTCGTCACTAA